TCATTTGTCATTTTACAGCTTTTAATTGAGAAAATTGATGAAAATAATGATTTTTGTAATGGTGTGAAAATTAGGGTGAAAATGTAAAAAAAAAATGAAAGTTATGGATGTTTTGCACAATAATATTGAAAGATATGGACGTTTTGTGCTAATTACCCTTTTAATAATTTATTTGGACTTATTCACACTTTTTTAAAAAGTTTGGGATTATGAGCACTTTGTTATTTCATTTTTTTCTCTTTTTTATTTATTTAAATAGGAGGGTACATTTATCATTTTACATGAGAAATTCGAAGAAAATGATGATTTCAACAATGAAAGGTGAAGTTAGGGGTGAAAATGCCAAAAAAAATAAAAGGTATGGACATTTTGTACTAATTATCCTAGCTGTTGCCTGTTGCATCAAATTTTAATTGCACTAAAAGTTATCAATATTAAACTAATGCGTTCTTGTATTTCCTTATTTCTATTGCAGTCTTATAATCTATATTTCATTAATTATCACATTTAGTTTTTCATGATGATTTATGTCTAGATATTCTGTCAGCATGATTTGAAACGAGAGATAAATAATTAGTTACACTTTTTGTAAAGAATTTAGGGGAAAATGTCCTTGTTTGACAACAATTATTTCAGTCTTTTTTTTTTCACTCATTTTCAATTACATGTTCTCACAATAAAGTATTCTTCACGTAAGCTAAAAATTTTTCCTACTTTTTAACCATACATTCTACCAAAATTACTATTCAAAAACTCATTCTTTTGAGGAAAAAAACTATCAAACAGGGGCTTATCTTTTAATTCTATCCTAACAATCTTTTGGGATCGAAACAATCATTTATGGTAAAATGTACTAATTAATGAAAGGCTGCTGATAAGAAGAAAAAAGAACACGGTAAGACAATGGGCAGATGTTTGGGTCCTTTAATGCAATTCAATAAGGTGTAGTAATAAAAATGTTTTCTTAGTAAATCACTCATCGACATATTATAATATAATATAAGTTAGCACCAAGTCGCCCCTTAAAAATTTGAGAGAGGCTTGAAGTGGCGCCCCTGGAAGTCCAGGGCCCATGTGGCCCTAGACAAGGGGCTTTCTCCTAACAATTTTCGGACAGTCCATCTAATTCGGGACTGGTTTATCTTACTCAAAGATTTTAGGGGCCCTAGGACAAAATTTATATCGGCCTTTGATAAATAGTTTAAAAATCAGTTAATTTTGGCTCGACTAGCCTATGAATCAACGTCTGTTTCCTAGTTGTTCCAATGAGACTTTGATTTAAAACTGAAAATTGCTCTTTCCCACCCCAAGGGCTTAGTGCCTGGCTGCTTTCAAGGCCCAATCATTCGACAGTCTTTTATAAGGTCTCATTATTTCATCCCAAGCGTCAATTTTCAATGCGGGACTTCTTAAGTTAGAAAACTTGTGTTCATACCAATATTTTAAAAATCAATCCGGGCATTTACTCGAAAAAGCTGAAGGGTGAAAGGTCAAAAAGTTCAGTAATAAGGATTGAACTGGGATTGAACCGGATACAATGAATAAATAAATACACAAACAGTAACATTTTAATATACATTTGAAAAACGGTTTTGATGGGCATTTTAAAATTTTTTTGCTATATCACCACCCCATATTGAAAGTTTATGAAACCATTTGAGAGAAGTAAATCTATAAAAAGAGTATGACATCCAATATTCTTCTATGGGCCTTTGATTGTTGTGCGCTCATTCATTAAGTTATTAAAATTAGCTATAATGGCAAACTTGCCAAATTGCCACCAGCTTATCTATTTATTGTTAGATTTACCAGTTCAGTGGATTTTGAGCGATTTTGTTTATAATAAATTAATCGGGCATGATTGACTTGATTTTGGGTCCAGTTCTCGATTTTACAGGCCGCGTGCTAGGTTGACCCAATTTTAACAACATTGGGTTATGCATATTAGTCAAAAAATAGTTGGGCTATACATTAAGATAAGGTGAGCTTGCTTTTGAAAAAAAAAAAATATATTAATATTAATAATAATTGGGCCTTGATTTTTGGTGGCCTTACATAACCTGCTAGGTTCCCTAGGCCCAGGGTCCGGCTACCCTTAGATGAACTTTCCAATATCAAATTAAAAAAATCATAAAGTTAGGGATTTATCAATAGATAATGTTGCATCAATATTCAATCGTAGAACGATTACAAGACCAATCAAAAAGATGGTTGTCGCTATTAGATGACAAAAAGAATTTTGAAATTTATTAACATACTTTAAGTAAGATATTGTTAATAATTCTACAAGTATAAATCCATTAAAGAACACTCAAGAATTTATTAGACACCATACAAAATATTTGAAATATTAAAAGAAAAATAATTTCAGTAAAATTTTCGAAAGGGTTTCAAAAGGCCATGTCATTTTTACCAATCATTGATGATTCTAGAACCGTAAAGCCTACGTTACATGCAATAGTACTTAAAATTACTAATGAAAAAATATATAAAATATCATTAAGCCACGCGGGTTCTCTGTAATAATTATAACTCATCACTTTAGCCAATTTAGCTCTTAATACATGATCATTCAAATCAAGTTCTTTCTTTTTCTTTTTTCAAATTGGAATATTTGAATTCTTCTAGATCCATCTCTAGAAAGAATTGGACACGATAATTTTTACCTGTTTATCCAAAAATTCAAACTTGTTTTTGTTATAGTTTTTATATTATTAGTCGAACTGATCACATATGAGAGTCATTGATATTATTTAAAAATTCTTGCTCGAGAATATTACGTTGTACTTAAATACTTAGACTCATTCAAAATCATACAAGTCCAAATTAAAACGGTGAATCTTATCTATGCCGAATATTTTAATTTTCTTGTTCATTTTTTTTGACCAAGTTGAGGTGGTCTGATTCTCCAAGTCTATAAAAAGGGCTTAAACACCCTGTAAGAACCACTATAGACGATAATAATTATTAAATAATTAAATTCTTCTCCAATTCTTATCAAAAAGGGACCAAATGTTCTTCCAAATTATAACTTCTAGATTGATTTATCCAATTTTGGATGGGTCAAGTCAATAAAATATTACCCGTGCATAAAATCTTTAACAGGGAAAAAAATATGCAACAAGTTTTTTGACTTGAAATTAGAAACTTCTCTCTCGACCAGTAGTAGATTAAACAAAAAGATGTTTGTCGAATTCACTTACCAAAAAAAAAAAGAAAAAAAAAAATTTTTTAAAAATTCAATAAAAAAAAAAAAAAAAAAAAAGAAACATTGTCAAGATTTAAATGCTTACACTTTTAGTAAAGTTTGAAATTTTTTTTTATAGATTATAAGTTGTAGAGTCTAAGAAATGTGTCGAAAAAAATGTAGATAAAAACATACAAATTGTTAGTCTTATATATCGTGTATAGAATAATTTTAGTTGATCAGTTTATTAACTTATAAAAACTTTACCAAACATGCAATTTAAAAAAATGAATAAATAGATTGGATTTATATCTCAGGTCTAGAAACAGATGAAAAAGTAAAACATTGCAACATCTGTTATCAAAATAATTGACCATTGATATGTCACGTGTGAATTAAATATTCAAGAAAATTGAATAGTTTTCGAGACATTAAGTTCTTTATCTTTCATGTACACACCAATGACCACTCTTTCTTTAATGACTTAGCTTGTCCCTTCAGTCCCTAGAACGAATATTTGAGAGCATAACACTAATTTTCCGATATTCCCTCGTAAGATCAGATATACCGCTTCCGGTGATAGCGTACTTAATTACATGATAGAGAATTTACCCAAAACTTCGAGTGTAAAATTTTCACATAATCGTTTTCGTAAATAATATAGACAATGACTAGAGGGTCGTAGTTGATCAGACACACAATAATATGATCGTATATAATGTGCGGTTAGTTATATATAGTTGAAACTAGAAAGATGCATTTATATCTAGTTCTTTAAAGTTGCGCACTATAAAATTTTAAGAGTTTCAGCCGATAATGGAACTCCTCCGTGATATGGGGTATCAAAATTTTAGGCATGTTAATGAAACTTGTTAGTCACATTAAAAAAGAAAAAAGAAGAAGATATGTTCCTAGTTTTGATAGTGTTTTTAAATTGTTGGCAATTCAAAATACATAGATAATAAGTTATATCATATGAAATGTATGATGAAAATGTGCATTAGATTAACTTAAGAGTCCATTTGATAGAATTTATTTAGGAATAATGAGTTATTGAATAATATTTTTCAGAAAATGTGATTAAAAAGTAATAAAATTTTATTGATTTATGTGTTGAATATTTTATTATTTGAATGTGTGGTGAAAAAAGATTTTCTAACAAACAATTTAAATTTTTAAAGAATGACAAACAGGGGTTAAATTATAATTTTAGCTTTGCAAAGCGTGCTCACAACTCTTTCCGTTATAAGACTTCCAACGATTCACTCCATGTAAAAGGAGACTATCTGAAATTTACTAAGCTTCTATAAAAATCTTATAACAATTATATCGCTAAATTAACCATTACGATTGGATTAGTCCTTTTGTCTCTTTTGATTGGTCTTACTAATCAATACCTTTTTCGCTAATTATTTTTACATGAAAAGAACAAAAGTTTCGTTAAAAATGATGTTTAAAACAAAAAAAAAAAAAAATTAAAAAAATATTATTCACACGTGTAGCACAACTTGGACCAAAATATTATCTCAACATGTGAATTATCTTGTTCACGGTCAAAAGTTGTAATAACGTTCCTTCCTTCCCATACCATTCCACACATCGCAACGTGACGCGCAATCAAATTATCTTGTTTACTTCTCCCCCAAACAATTGAAAATTCACATTCAGAAGTCAACACCCATTCTATATATAAATACTTATAATCCTCCTCGTGTAATCATCAATCCGAAGAACCAGTTTCAGTTCGTCACAACTCAAATCAAGAAAAGAAAACCCGAACAAGTATACAAAAATTTCAGATATGCAGGCAAGTATGGAAGAACAGCTTAACTCGGATCAAGAATTGTTATACTCAGAAGCTGCAATGAAATTGAGTGACGATTTTTATGCTCAGTTGAAACTCAGTGATTCTGAAGAAGAAGATGAAGAGGAATTTTCCTTTGTATGTGAAGTGGCAAATGATTCTCAAATAACAGCTGGAGATGCATTTGTCGATGGCCAGATCAAGCCGGTATTTCCATTATTCAACCGGGATTTGTTATTTCCCGATGAGGATGAAAAGATTTTGCGGGAGAATTTGCCGATCAGGCCTCCGGTGAAGAAGGTTTTTGTTGAAAGAAAAGATGGGTCGACGTCAACTTCGTCGGAGAAGGACGACATATCTGGACCTTGCTGCGAGTTGAAGACAAGAAAGGTGGTGGAGGCGTCGCCGGAGGAGGTATGCAAGAAAAGCAACTCAACTGGGTTTTCAAAGATTTGGAGGTTGAAAGATTTTAAGGCGAGGTGCAATAGTGATGGAAGAGACGCCTTTGTCTTCTTGAATAATAACCATACACCGCCGTCCACGGCGGAGCCAGCGGCGGCGAGTGGTGGTGAGAAAAAAGAGTCAACGAAGAAAGCCAACGGGTATGGGAAGGCAAAGAAGAGTAAAACGTCGCCGTTGTCGGCCCATGAGGTGTATTTGAAAAATAAGGCGAAAATGGATGATAGGCAAAAATCTTATTTACCTTATAGGAGGGAGTTGTTGGGAGTTTTCACAAATGTTAATGGTGGACTAACCCGAAGTGTGCATCCCTTCTAAGAATACAGTGGCTTTACCTAATTGTAAATTTTTAGTTGTAATTTTGAACTCGATCAGTTATCCAATTGAAACATCACTTGACACACTAACCCATGATCTGTTTGAGACCGAGAGCTGTAAAATGAAATAAAATAAATGAAACTTAAATTTATTTTTATTTTTTCCTTAAATTTACATAGTATCGTAAGACATTTAACACGAATTTGCTTGCAATGTTCGTTTTAATTTCTTTGTACTTGATTTAGATGATCCAAGATTTTTTTATGTGATATTTAAAAAAAAAAAAAAATGTCATGTCTTGCCATTAAAAATATATGCCAACAATTTAAAACGTGATGCTTATTGAAAATAAATTGCTATACAGAAAAAATGATAGGATATTATTTACGAAAATGATTTGATATTAGTAGAATGTATTATAAGGTTAAGGCAGGTTGATATTAGAAATCGTCACGCATCTTTGTGCAAATTGTACATCTTTTTTATAAATTAAAAAAAAAATCTCGATTAAGTGCTTCCAACACAAGAAATAGTTTAGGATTTAATATAAAAGATGTTACAATACTTAAGTTGTGGGGTGTTTTTAGTGTGAATGAGTATAATATCTTCACATTGTGTTGGCCTTAATTTTTTGAAAAATGAGCGCTGCATTTATTGGGAAGACTTTGCGATATTGACATGAGATTCACACCATTTGATTCACAGAAGAAAGTACCTTGATTCTTGGTTGAGAATATTCTCGACCTTCAAATTGGGAGGTATCTAATCACTAATCAGATGTAAAAAAAAATTAATTTATCAAATCTTTTAATAAATGTAACAATAAATCATACTAGCTACAAATACTTGGCTTCAAATTTATTAAAAATATGTAACAGCTTTCTGAAGAATAAGGCCAATTTTTTTTTCTAAATCAGTCATTGACTATATCCAAAGCTTGCCAATTAAAGTACAAAATGAAAATTGTCAGTGGACATATATAGATTAGTTATTGTTTCATCTTTGTATCAATCGATCCCTACAATGACAAAGCAATCTCAGACTCGAATCAAGACTTCAATATGCTTAATTTTGCACTTGAAATCTTTGAGTTCTGAGGTCATGTCTCCTCCATCTTCCCGAGAAGCTAAAGTTAATACTTTTACTGTGACCTTTTAAAAAAAGTTGATGTTTTTTCAGTTATTACTTCATCCAGAGTCACTCTAGGTTTGGTTCCCATTAATTTAAATTTCATTTTTCTCTCGTCCATTTTCAACGACAAAATCTTCCACAAAATAATATTACACATATATAAAAAAAAATTCTTCTTTTTTAACCACTTATTTTTCAAAAAATAACTATTTCACCCATTTTCATTTCATCAAAATGGGGGCCAAACGAGGGCTCAAGAATACCATATTGAGGTTTTCTTCCAGGTCCTCTTTTAATGGCATATAATTTCCAACTACTTTTTGGTTGATAAGCACCGTGTGGGAAGATCAAATATTATCTGATAATCTTTACTCTCTTAAAAGAGAGGCTTTCTTTACTATTCATTCATGTCACGCTGGTTTTCACACTTGCTCTATTTACATATCTGGTTTTGCTACAGTTGGTTGGTCCCCAAAATGAGCCACGTTTTCTTTTTGAGACCGCATAGTCTGCGTCTTCTTGCTTTTGTATTGTCTCACATCCACCTCCTCTCGTGAGGAATAATTAATGTAGTTGATTTTTTTGACTTATTGAAGTGTAGTTGATTTTGTTGACTTCTTGAAATCTGAAAACGTGCATTCCCGAGATATATAGCAAAGTTATTAGATGATTGTCCTTTTTCCCACATAATTGAGATATCAAAAGTAACATTATACCCTCTATTTAATAAACAATTTGGCACAATTACCCTTCACTTTCTAACTACACACTAATTTCCATACCTATATTAATGTTAAGGGTGATATGGGAATTAAAAAATATAGTTGTCCAAACATTAATGAATGGGACCCACATTTGAAGTAAAACGTGCTGTGCTGTTTATTTTTTTTTCTTACCACATAAATTTCGCACAATACTCTTCTATCAATTCAATCCTTCTCTTTCTAAATTCTAGCCATTGTTTTGCAGAACGAATTCTCCCCAAAATCTTGTTTTCTCTGAAAAAAAAAAAGGTCGTCCTTCTACCATTATTCGCTTTTGCCTTTAGCCTAATTCGTATTTTCTCGTCATCAATAGTGGAGAAGAAAATTCTAGAAGTTGCAACAATTATTTTGGGTATGTTCTTCTTATAATTTTTCTTTTTTGTGTATTTCTTTTTTTTTATTTTCTTACTATTTATTTAAGGTACGTAGTTTTCCTTTGTTTATAGATGAAAATCTAGCTGGGTTCGTCTTCCTTTAGCTCCATATAAGGTATGTTCTCGTTTCTGTACATGCATGAAAATATATCTACGTTTACATATTCATGGTTCATGAGGTTGAAGGTCATGAATTTTCGCTGTTTCGAAGCTGGTGAGGAATCAACTATCATCATTCATAGCCAACTTCAACAATTTCAAATCACTATTTCACTCCATTTTTCATTCACTGTAGAAGAAAATGAAATTGCACTGGACGCAGAAAAAAATGTTAATAGAGGGTGAAAATTATATAGATGTGTACATACACATTTAGAGACATACATGTTTACGTGTGTGAGGAAAGGGGATTACTTTTCTTTGTATAGAATATATTTTATTTAATTAGTATATAATAATAAAATAGTATCTGCCTTTACTATAAGAGAGGAGATTGTCCAAGTTATTGTTTATGTTTGGCACAATTTCACACGTAACAAGTTTCTTCCTTTAGTATGTAGACTAGAGATATTTTTTTCTTATTCTTATCTAATATGAAAATTATTTAAGTTGAAAACGCCCAACTTTGTATGAACTTTAAAAATTCTTTAAAATATATGTGTTGGAGACATGTAGTTTTATATTAACTTTAAAGATGAATAAAATTTGAATTGAAGGCGCCGTGTAGTATTTAGTGCCATGCCTTGATTTTTTATAAATTGATAGATGACTGTGGTAGATAGAAGTCTTGTCTAAGTTAAATAGTTATAATGGAAGTGTATTTATAGGGAAATTTATTCTGTAGGTTGCTTTGAATTAGAATTTCGAATATTCCAAGAGAGAAGCTCGAGTACCATACTTTTTCATTGAAAAAGATACTTTGTTAGAGCTTATTAAGGCAGAAATTCATAGATGGAAATCTTTTATTACTTGCTGCCCGAATTCTTTTGTGCATTTCCAGTCGTCCACTTATGAATTTATTAAGTTTATGATTGTTGATAAATTACTTACATTATAACTTTAGAAATAGATTGCATATGTAGGTTGATTGGGTGGAAGCAAAACCACTAAATTTATAGATGAAAAATATTTTCTTTTTAGAAGTCTTTATTTTCTCACTCTTCGGTAGTAGTATAGCAAAAACTTTTACAACATTACAATAGTATTTATGTTTTTTTTTTAAAAACTATTAATTTTACAAGAATCATATAAAAATGTTAATCTTTTATTCCTGCTTTTACATCATATAAGTCTTATTAAAATTTTATTTCATCAATAGTTCAGTCAACAATGTTTATATTTATTGCTATTGCTTTGAAGTAAACAATTTTTTTTATTAAACTTCAGCTTTATGCATGTTTTTAATGTTGTGAGAGTCTGGTTCACTTGTGTCTATCGAATATTTTTCCTATTGTGGAAACTTAGTAGTATTATTAATTTTTTAATTATTTCATTCACTAAAATGAAAATTCTTTGCTTTCGTTAAACTAGAGGTGAAGATATTTTCCCCATGGATTCTTCGAACATTGATAGTACTTCTCAAAATGCAATTGAATCGTATACTGCTTTTATTCGCCAACAACAAAACCAAAGACAGGCGAATAGGAGGAATCGAATTCAAAGTCCACGTGTTGATCGTCGTAAAAGAATAAATAATTCCACGTTGCATCCTAATTTTCAGGCTTCTACTTCAAATCAAGCACGTACTAATATTGTTCATTCTAAAGTACAAGGGATTTCTAACCTATTAAACATACCTACTAATGCATATGTATTACCGACATGGAACTATTGTGAACATTGTGGTGCACGAAAATTTTATAGAGAAACTAAAGGGTTCTGTTGCTCTGATGGAAAAGTTAAACTTTATATGCCTGATTCACCAATTGAATTGTATAATTTATTTACTTCTAAAGAACCTGAATGCATGGAGTTTAAGAAAATTTCACGTGGATATAATAACCATTTTGCATTCACTTCATTTGGTGTAAAGTGCGATACAGACCTTTTTAGAGCATATAAAGGTATTTACACATTCAGAATTCAGGGACAAGTATATCATTATGTAAATCAACTTCTGCCGGAAAATAATCAGCCTTCTTATATGCAATTATATTTTTATGATACGAATAACGAAGTTGAAAATCGTATGAAAATTTCAGAAAATTTTGTTGAATCTACTTTGATCATTTTGATTAAAATATTGAAAATAAATCCGTATAGTAGATTCTTTAGGTCTTTAAGTAATATGACCAATTTGCACGACCATCGAATACAAATAAGATGCGATCCTAGACTTGATCAAAGAGTCTTCAATACTCCTTCAACATCTCAAGTAGCCGCTGTATAGGTTGAGGATGATGACAATGCAAATATTCGTGTTCGTGATATTACTATATATGGTCATTCTGGTGATTCACATAAGGTTCACTATTATTATGGTTGTTATGATCCTTTGCAATACCCTTTACTTTTCCCATTTGGAGAACCTGGTTGGCATGAAGGTATTCAGAGATACAAAAAAACATATTTTGAAACTCAGAATTTACCCGATTGCGTAGCTTTTCTTAGCGCAGTAAATTTTGCAACTGAAATCATTGCAAAAGAGGCTCAAGGTTTGCTATTAAACTTTTTTATATGTTTACTAATTCATATAAATTAAATGTTCCAAATGGGTGTAAGATGCATTTTTTTTATCCTTATGCAGTATTCAATGGAATGAGGAAACGATCACAGGTTTCTTGCCGCGAGTACTATTCTTACAAGTTACAAATTAGGCCTTCTAGTAAGTCTGTGTTACTTCATACTGGTAGACTTTTTCAACAATATGTTGTAGATATGTATGTTAAAATTGAAACTGCCAGATTAGACTATTTTCGTAGCAATCAGAAACAAATTCGTGCTGAACTTTATCAAGGTATTGTGGATAGTGTTCAAAATGGGGAAACAAGAGGGTCAAAAATTGGAAAGAAGATTGTTCAACCACAAACTTTCACATGTGGGCCTAGAGATATGCTTAAAAGATATTTAGATGCAATGGCTATCGTACAATGCCACGAAAAATTGGATATATTTCTAACTATAACATGCAATCCAAATTGGCCAAAAATTACTCAAGAACTCAAACACAATGATGAGGCACAAAATCGACCTTATTTAATTGCACGTGTATTTAGAGAAAAATTGGAAGCGTTAAAAAATGATTTGTACAAAGAAAATATTTTTGGCCATGTCGTAGCTCATATATACATGATTGAATTTCAAAAAAGAGGGCTCCCTCATGCCCATTTATTGTTGATTTTCAATTCTGCCCATAAAATTTGTTGTGCTGAACAAGTTGATATGATAGTGTCATGTGAAATTCTCGATAAGAATAAATACTTGCATCTTCATTCTGTAATTGCAAAACACAATATGCATGGCCTTTGTGGAAACCTTAATCCAAAAAACGTATGTATGTTGGCAAGTAGTGGTTATAAAAATAAATATCCTAAGGATTATTGTAACAGTACTATATTTGGTGATAATTTATATCCCTTGTATAGACGTCGTGATAATGGTATTTCTATTAAAGTAAGAGGCCAAATGTTAGATAATCGGTGGGTTGTACCATATAATCCTTATTTAAGTGCAAAATTTGACTGTCATATTAACGTTGAAGTATGTTCTTCTATTAAAGCAGTAAAATATTTGTACAAATATGTGTATAAAGGACATGATCGTATTAATTGTTTCGTAGGCAGAAATGAAACAGATAAGGAAATTGATGAAATTTTTG